TATATAAACTTTATAGCCATCTTCCTACATATTCACATTTTCATCTTATGACAGTGTCGGGCTAGCATTTGTCAAGTTACATATTGCAAACTATTTTTTTAGATGGGACATCCAGAATTTTTTTCTGTTAAAAAAAAATAGTTAAAAAAAATGAGTTCCAAGTAGTATAGTTTATACATAGCGATAGTTTTCAGATGAAAAGTACAATTCATTGACTTTTAACAAATGAACACAGTTGCATAATCACCACCCCAACCAAGATCCAGGATTCCAAAACCCGCCTCCCAGGCCCCTTTGTTATTGGTCCGCTGCCCTGTCACTCCCGGGACTGCTGCTGCCTTGTTGCACCGCTGGTTTTACCATTTCCAGACCGGAAAGTCTTCACCCAGCATGAACAATGGCTTCCCTATAGCCTTAGAGGTAGTACACCCTCTCCTGGTCCTCCCTACCCTGTAGACTCTAGCAGCACACCTAGACTCTGAGACTGCATACAATTAGGATAAGATTGCATACAAATGAATGGCTGGACACCCAGGCAAGGGTCCGAAGACCTCCCTGTCCCCTCCTAAGAGGTGACGTCAACAATCCACAGGCTGATTACGACTGACTCTTAAAAGCAGACACAACCAATCTCATGGAGACGGCAGCAGCTGGACTCAGAAGTCAACTCCATGTAATAGACTGTTCACTGGGAATGAGTCATGGTAAGCGAATATCTGAAATTATGACATATCAAGGTAATATTGACGTTATAGGAAACTGCCAAAATGTTTGCCTAGTCGTGTTTGGCACTCACACCAGAAACGTGATATTTCTTCCTGCTTCGTAGCCTTGTGGGTATTTAGCATGTAATTTCTGTGTCACTGATTTCTCTGAGGACTAAGGCTATTAAGCATCCTCTGTGTGTTTCTTGTCTCTTGAACTGTTTGTTCACAGACATTTCTTACTTGGAAAAAAACCCAGTTGTCTTCATATGACAGTGTGGTTTCAATACAGAGCCTTTATTAGAAATACAGTTTTCACCTATTTTTTATCTCTTTGTTGGCTCTTTTTTTTTTTTTTTTTTCCTAAACGTCTCTTTGGAAAGGCTGAAGTTTGAGATTCTGAAGTTGAGTTTATCAAATTTTCTTATTTTGTGGTTCATGCATTTTGCATCTAAGAAA